GAGCAGCATTTACTACACAGAGCCGTAGTTCACCGAGAAGCTATGCAAACAGCTGTCATTATCGCGAACGATGTCTTCGATTTCATAATCCCGCAATAAAATCGTCTTCGTAACTTGTCAGTGAACTACGGCTCTGTGTAGTAAATGCTGCTCCATCTGAAAGCACGTAATGATGATTTACTGCTGATTACAGAACCTGCATTACTAACAAAATGCGCATGACAATCGCATTTGATTAATCGTGCAGCCCTAATCCAAACAAAGAAGCAATTGTGTCATTTCAAAATTTGAAGCAAAAACAGAATGGTCTGACTTTAGCTTTGTGAAACTATACTACATAAAACATCTGAACGAAACAAAAACAGCAGACGGGCTGCATGAGAAGGCAAATTCACTCTCTGACAGTTACCGCTGTAAACAAAGCAGCGCTGCGCTAATAAACACTACCTTAATACACATTATACAGAGGCGAGATGAAAGAAAATACCATCTAAACTTTTCTGAAGACAGAAATATAAACCCCACCCTCAACTGTACCGCGATTCATTTAAAGGGGTCATGAACTATCAAGATTTTTACATCAAAAACATCATCATTTAGAAATAATCTGCTATTTTCTGTCCTGCTTACTCACATTTGTGTGGTGTGACATTCATCTCAACCGACTTGAATCGTCACATATCGATTTTCAACCGGCTCGGGGTGCATTGTTGCATCCCTAGTGTAAAGACACCCAAAAGCCACTTCAGAAGTGCTTCTGTGCTGCCTTTGCTGCCTTTTAGAGCAGGGGTCTTCAGACTCGGTCCTGGAGGGCCGGTGTCCTGCAGGGTTTAGCTCCAGCCCTAATTAAACACACATTAACCAGCTAATTAAGGTCTTACTAGGTATACTAGAAACTTCCAGGCAGGTGTGTTGAGGCAAGTTGGAGCAAAACTCTGCAGGACACCAGCCCTCCAGGACCAGGTTTGGAGACCCCTGATTTATAGTTGCAATGAAATGAATGTATAATGAATTAATGTACAAAGAGTCACAATGAAAGTATAGCGACAGAACTTTGCTTCCATATTGTGACATAAAACCAAGTGTACCAAATGATCAAAAAAATAAGAAAAATGAAGGGCATGTAGAACACTTGTTATTCCATTTTGATTAATAATTACAAGATCAAAATCTTAAACATACAAATGGATGAACTGTTCATTATTTAAGATATAACATGCATTTAGAATGCCTATATCAACCATTACCAAACATCGAGAGCTAGATGTCAAAAACTTGTTTCTGATGGCAGTCTGATGAAGACTTGAAGTATTTAGTATGCTGTACTATTTACACTAACCACATGTGATTAAAATTCATCATCAGGCATTTAATTATCATGATATATGGAGAAAGTGACTAGGCCAGGAGAGCTTTAGTACACTGGACAGAAATACTGTTTTGAACAAGTGTTTATCTTTTAATAAGAGTTCACAAATGTATTAACTTCAGTGACTGGAAGTATGCTTATCATGCTAATTCGGCCAATATGGTAACACTTCAACTCTCACTATTAACTAGTTGCTTATTTGCATGCATATTAATTCCATATTGGCTGTTTGTTAGTACATATTAATGGCTTATTCTGCATGACCATATTTTAGATCCCTTAATCCTACTCCATACATAAACTTTACTGTACTAACTGTATTAATAAGTAGCTAGGAGTTTACTGAGGCAAAAGTTAATAGTGGGAATTGGTCCCCAAACTAAAGTGTGAGCCGAAACTTTATGGCGTGTTATACGAAAAGACAAGTTTAAATAGTATGACAATAAAAAACTATTACAAATCTCAAGTCCAACATTGGATGTACAAACTATCTAATCATTAAGCAATGCCCTAAACTTGCCACGGTAACAGTTCCGCTAATATACCAAAATACCGAGTACAATTAGAAAGTTGTTATTGGCGAGCAGAGTCTGGGAAAACATTTGGGGAAAAGCCTTGTTTGAAATAGACCCACGTTGATTTATTGTTGGATAACAACAACTGAATTAAACGTGGTATTCGCGGAAACTGGTCATTTTCATAAAAGCTGACAAGCCAACGATACATTCGTGTCAAATATCAGTCGTCAGTGTGAAATTAGGTACACGACAGGCTTTATACCAGATTAACCTTCTGGCCTCGTTCTGGCAACACGGTGGTTAATGACACACACACACACACACACACACACACACAC